ACCCCCACACATCAGAGTCTGGGGCGACCTGCGACTGCTCTCCAGGCCGGTGCAGATGAGGTGGAATCTGGCAGAGGTCCGGTCAGGGGCTTTTCCTGCAGGGAAGTTGGGGGGGCAGAGGGGCAGGGGATGGGGGGAGACAGACAGGAGGCCAGCAGTTACGTGGCTACCCAGAGATGGCAAGGGAGAGTCTGCCCGCTGAGTGGGACTCACCCTCCTCCCCTCTCCAGCAGGGCCTGGATCCCAGACCCTCACCTGGGCGCAGATCCTGGAGATGGGGGACGTCCTGCAGTCGGACTTCACGCCGGGCAGCTTAAGCCTCACCACTTTGTCAGTGTGCGAGCCCACGGACTCCAGGCAGCAGCGCTGGAAGCAGGGCCAGTAGGGGCAGTGGGGGCCACAGAGGCGGGTCTGGTTCAGGGGCAGGATGGTGTCATCGTCACAGCACTGCTCCAGGGGGTTGTAGGCCTGGTCCCCGCACATGGGCGCTGGCTGGCACAGCCACAGACCGTCAGGCCCTGCAAAGCCAGAGCTGGGTGGGCTCCGGGGTTGTGTCCGGGACCAGCCCCAGCTCCGTGATGCTGCCTCCTCCCGCCTCATGCACCTGCTCTCACCTGGGACTCCTTCCGAGAGCGAGCCCAGGAGGGCAGAGAGGAAGACGGCAGCTGTGAAGCAGAGGGGATGAGGACGGCGCTGGGACACCTGGTCCAGGCCCCAGCGACGGCACGGAGCTCCCTGCTCACGGATGCCGCTCAGAGTGGGTCAGGGTCCTGGGGTGTGGGCAGGCAGGGGGGACACACAGGGAGGCTCCGGGAGGAGTTAAGGTTCTGAGGCTGCAGGTACGAGGGAGGTGGCAAAGCATCAGAGAGGACCAGGGTGATACGAGGAGGGAGACAAGAACTGCTTAGGGGAGAGAGAGTCAGGCTGGCGCCGTGCAGGGGTTAAGCTGCCACCTGAGACAGCGGCATCACCCACGGGTCCTGGTTCAAGCCCCGGCTGCTCCACGTCTGATGCAGCTCCTGCTATGCAGTGGGAAAGCAGCAGAAGACGGTCTGAGAGCGTGGGCCCTGCACCCTCGGGGGAGACCCGGTGGAGCTCAGGGCCCTGCCATTGCAGCCACCTGGGCAGGGAGCCAGAAGAGGGAAGTGCTCAATACCTCTCTCTCTCTCTCTCTCTCTTTCTCCCTCCCTGCCTCCCTCCCTCTCTCCCCCAGTCACTCTGACTTTCAAATAAATAAGTACCTCTCTACAAGTGAAAAGAGGGTCAGGTTTCCAGCCCAGCAGGGGCAGGGGCTCTGAGGCTCCCCCCACCCCGGGGCTGGGGTTTCCTCACCGAGCACTCCGGGCACCATGCTTCTGAGCCAGCTGCAGGGCAGTGGGTGGCGGAGCAGCTGCACCTCTGGGTCGGGACCTGGCTCGGTGGTTTTTATACAAACTTGGACCTGTGAATCATGTGGCAACACAGGCAGCAGGGCCTGGGAGGGTGGGGACGGCACAGACAGCAGTCATTGAGTAACAGCTCCTGAATCTGGCCCAGGAGGCAGCCGCCTTCTCACGCCCTCCACCCTGGGAACCTTTTCTGGGCACAGCTGAGGGGGCGCCCAGCTGGGAGAGACGCCTGGGCCTTCCCTCCCTTGAGGGAACCCGCCCTCCCCAAACACTGGCTGTTTCCAGGCTCCCCACATGCCTTATCCCAGAGGTTTCAAGGCCCCCCCCCCATTATCTCCACTGCTGCAGGGCTCCTGCTTCTGCAGAGTCAGGTGTGGGAGACATCGAAGGTGCAGCAGGATCGGGGGCTCCTCCGGGGCTGCAGACTCTCCACCAGGGAGTCGCCAGGGACAAGTCATGGGGGACCCTGGGGTCCACGGTGCCTTTTTCTTGTTGCTCTAAGGGTCTTTGACCAATTGCTCCCTCCATGTTTGTCATTGCTGTCTGCCCGTCAGCATCACTCCGTCCGTGTGAGTGCAACGCCTGTGGGGTTCTCAGAGGCCGCCCCTCTGTGTTCCGGGGTTCCCCAGGGAGGCTGACACAGCACTGGGGCAGAGGCCTTAGGGGGCATCGCCGGCGGCAGGGACTCTCCTGTCCCGGGGTCAGAGGAGGAGACTCCACCTGCAGGGTCTGATGGCTGCGTACAGAGCCGCCTGCTCCCTCCTCTGCGGGTGTCAAGTCGGTGCCTCTGCTTCCCCTGCACCCTAACAGGAGTCCCCTGGTCGTCGGACGTCCCCCACTGACAGAGCAGCTGCCGGGAAATCAGGCCTGCGAGAGCCACGGTCCCAGATGCATTCACAGATGACTCCTCGGAGCCCCACTACATATGCATGAGCCAGTTGGGCTGGGCAGGTGCAGGGAGCCCCCTGTGAGTGCTGAGGGCGCGTTCCTCGGTTCACTTTGCAGCCTGCAGGGCCCAGTGTGCGTTTGCTGGCATCGCCCTCCACACCTGCTTGCGTCCATCGCTCGCATCAGCATATGGATTTCATTCCTTTTTTTCCCTAAAAAGGGAATGTCGCATTGTTAAGAAAATACAGAGAGCATCGGGAGATCAAAATAAACACACAAACTCCCTTTCTCAGTGCAGGCTCGGTCAAGGTCAAGACGCTGATTCCAGAACTCCAGGGCATTTCTGAGAACTGAGGGTCCTGGGGCTGAGCCGCGGTGGTGGTGCCGTCTTGATTAGCTGAAGAGAAAGGAGCTCCATTAAATAGTTAAAGCATTACAATAATTTGTTCTACCTGAAAGGTGCAGGTGGAGGTGCGGGTGGAGCTAGTGAAACAGAGTGACCTCCCACCCAGGGGGCGCTGCCCAAACGCCGGCAACAGCTGGGGTGAATCCGGCCAAAGCCGGTGCTGGGACTCCCGCACAGGACAGACCCAGCTATGTGGCCTCATCTCCGCCCAGGCTGTGAATTCCTGGGCTCAAGGGTGGACTCCCCCTCAGGCTCTCAGATATGGGACCTGGGTGCCCAGACAGCTCCGCAACCACGCCCACGGCAATAACAAAGAACCAAGAAAATAACAAAGAACCAAGAGGGGCGGAGTCAGGGCCACCAGGGGCTGCGTGGTCACTTCCCGTGCAGCGCACGCACGGAGCCGCCCTGGGTGCTGGGGGCGCCGTCGGGTGGAGAGGACGCTCGGGGAAGCTTCCCGGGTGCTCTTCCTGCTGCGGCTGAGGCGAGATCTCTCATCACCGCCCCAATAAGCAGGAGCCATCAGGCTCGGCGCCCAGAGAGCCCAGGAGCCAACACCTGAGCGTCCCCAGAGCTCCGCGGCCGCGACTCGCAGCCGCCCAGCCCTTGATTTAATTTGTTGATTTTATTAACAAGCAGTCCTTGAGCATTTTCTGAGTACAGGGCAATACTCAACCCTGACACAGCGCCAGCTGATTAAACTGAAGCGAGTTTCCGCCGTCCTGCTGGGTTAAACTCCCGTGGGAACTCAGGTCCTCTGTGCAGCTCCTGGGGGCGGAGCCAGCGCTGGTTCCCACAGAGAAGGCAGTGGCTGCTCTGTCAGTGCGCGTGGTCAGCTCTGCTGTTTTCTGCGCCGTCCGTCATGTGTCCTTGGCCGTAGGACTTGGTCAAGATTAATTGTGCTCAGTGCGCAGGTTTGGTCTGGCCCTGTGGACCTCAGCTTCAGTGCTGGCCCAGGCCGCTTGAATGGACTCCTTTGTAAACTACTGAGGCCCCAGGCGCGTTGTCCCCTCCAGGAGTCCCGGGAAGCAGCAGCGAGTTCGTGGTTCTCCCCGGTAAGCTTCCCGCGCACGGGTGTCCGGGTTTCACATGGTGGGAGCGCCTCCTCCCCAGTGCCGCCAGCCACGTCCTGTTCAAGCCATCAGAACAAGGGAGTCTGAGTTTATTTTGCAGCAAAACTTTCTCACGGCGCTGCGTTGTGGCACAGAGGGCAAAGCTGCCTCCTCGGCCCTGGCGTCCCACGCGGGTGCCGGGAACATCCTGAGGCTCCACTCCCATCCCGCTCCCTGCTAATGCGCCTGGGAAAAGCCGCAGAGGAGGGTCCGAGTCCCTGGGCTCCTGCACCCACCTGGGAGACAGGGAAGAAGCTCCTGGCTCTAGCTTTGGCCTCGCCCAGTTACGGCCATGGTGGCCATCTGGGGAGTGAACCAGCAGATGGAAGATCTCTCTCCCTGTCTCTGTCTCTTTGTAAGTCTGACTTTCAAAATAAGGAATACTGAAATGAATTTTTTTAAATCAGTGTATAGTTTTATGGTGTTTTTTCTTTTTTATAAATATTTATTTATTTGAAAGGCAGAGTTACAGAGTCAGAGAGAAAGAGAGAGAAAGAGAGAGAGAGAGAGGTCTTCCATCTGCTGATCCACTCCCCAATGGACACAACAGCTGGAGATGAACCAATCCAAAGCCAGGAGCCTGGAGCTTCCTCCAGATCTCCCACACAGGTGCAGGGGCCCAAGCACCTGGGCCATCTTCTGCTGCTTTCCCAGGCACATTAGCAGGGAGCTGGATGGGAAGTGGAGCAGCCAGGACTTGAACTGGCACCCATATGGGATTTGTGCACTGCAGGCGGCAGCTTTACCCTCTATGCCACAGCACTGGCCCCAAGTTTTCTTTTTAAAAGTGATTTATTTGTTTTCATTTATTTGAAAGTAGATTGATAGATCTCTCACGGTAGGCACATGCAGACATACACGTATGCACACACACACACATGCACACACCCAGTGATATCATTGCAGGAAACAGGAACAGACAAGAAGAGCAGTAACACCTGCTGTGGGAAGAGACGTGGGAAACTGGGAAGCTCATTCCTCCTGGCGGGACCAGGCGTGAGTACATCCACCTGGGAACTCCTGGGCGCGTCCTTTAGAGCCACACGTTTTGTGATCTAGAAATTCCACTCTAGACGTGTGTGGCCGAGAGAAAGGCAGAGGTGTGTTGAAGAACAGCCACGGGCAGGGTTTCTATTGACGAATAAAATTTAGTAGATTCATTTATGAAAGTAAAAAGCTGGAAACAACCCAGGGGCAGTGAGGTGAGGCGTGTCGGCCGGGGCCAGCCGTGAGTGACGGAGCTGGCCGGCCGAGCCGGCACCGCAGCTGGGGCTGCAGGAGCTGCCCCGGCACCGACTCCTGGTGCAGCACACGCAGCCCGGGGATGCGCACGCGGCAAGGGGCTCGTGGGTTTTTGAAGAGCGGACCACGCAGGAGGAAGGGGAGCTCTCCACGCAGACTGCTGCTGCGCCGCCTCTGACGGCCAGTCCGTCTTTCCAAATCAGGGCCCGGTGCGTTGCCCTGTGGCCTCACTCATGGACCCATAAGAGTGCTGATTTCGCAGTTGTTTTAAGCCTTATCTGCTTGTTTGAAAGGCAGAGGTACAGAGAGAGAGGGAGAAAGAGAGAAGATATCTTCCATTCGCTGGCTTGCTCCATTCCAGGGCTGGGTCAGACCAAAGCCAGGAGCCTGGAACTCCATCCGGGTCTCCCACATGGCTGGCAGGGCCCACGCACTTGGGCCATCCTCCGCTGCCTTCCCAGGTGCGTTAGCAGGTGGACTGGAAGTGGAGCAGCTGGGACTCGAACCGGCTCTCGTACGGGATGCTGGTGCTGCAGGCTGCAGCTCAACCAGCTGTGCCACACGCTGGCCCCTGGTTCTACACTGGTTGCGTCTTTCACTTGTTAAGGGAGGTGGTGACCTCAACGTTGCTTGCATGCCGGCCAGAGGCTGCAAACCCCAGGATGTGTACTTCAGATGTGTTCGATGCTTTGAGAGCCGAGGCTCACGGATGGCCCAGCGTCCGGCCCATTCTGGGAAAAGTCCCGGGTGGACTTGAAAGGGACCCAGGGGAAGCGAGACAGCGGCTCAGGCCACCCCTGCCCCCAGGGACCCTGACCGTACAGCTCTCACGCACCCAGTCTCCATCCGGGAGCCACGGGAGCCGGGGAGCCCACAGTGCTCATGTCAGTGTGATGATAAGAAAGAGAGAGAGGACAGAGTGGTCTGCGTTGCTCCCACTGCTCCATGGTGCCAGGAGCGCGGTGCTCGCAGAGGGCTCCGGCCATGCGCCGGTGCCATGCCCCCTCGCCAGTTCTCATCACAGGCCCAGGGGCCCTGATGGCCACAGGATTCCATGTCTCAGGACTCAGTTCTTGACTGGGCCTGGGTTTCTGTCGTCAACTTCCTCTTCCTTTTAAAACCGTGCCCACCTCACACTGCAGCTTCAGACCCTAGCTTTTTAGTTACACATTCTCTTTCTGTCTCTCTCTATCTCTCTCTATCTCTATCTCTTTCTCTATCTCTTTTAATAAAGTTTAAGCACATAAGAAATGTGTTTGATTTTTTTTTAAAGATTTATTTATTTGAAAGGCAGAGTTACAGATGGATGGAGAGGCAGAGAGAGAGAGAGGTCTTCCATCTGCTGGTCCACTCCCCAGATGGCTGCAATGGTGGAGTTGGAGCCTGGGGCCAGGAGCTTCTTCC